GAGGAAACTTATCTCCAAGGCAACGCAATAAACGACGGTGAGTCGATTGAATATATTATTCGGACACAACTGAGTTCCCTTGTGTGCAACCTAGGCGACATGCATGGATGTTTTGTAAAATTGTTGTGCCACAAAAGTTCAGCACTTCCTCTTCAAATAATAAGCGTGATTCAACAGATTCAAGCATATTTCTTGTTGGAAATGGCTCATACTGTAGATACGACAAACCCAATCTTTATTTTTTTTTTATATTTATAAATTTAAATGAAAGTTGAAACCAACCAGCCAATCAACAAGAGCAGTGCGCAATGGCGTCATTTAAAAATGTTTCATTGTTATCCCATCGGCGAATCGGTTTCAGTTTGAATTGTGAACTTTATAAATATTTATAAAAAATAAGAGAATAGGTTTGTGGTATTGATAGTACTATATACACCAACGGCGCTTCATTGAATTGTGCTCCCCTTCACTCATTACTACAAGAGCACAGGTGTCGGATTACGTCACTGTGCGCTCGTTGGTATTTTTTACACGCCCACCGGCAGCTATATGCCTACTTTTTACCAAGCCCACTACAAACTGTTTTCTTAGGATTTCCGAACATGTCACCTTACAAATCGACGCGTAATAAACGATTATTCAAAAGATTGTTATTCGTTGTTAAAGCGCGGTGGTCGTCGCGCAGCGCGTGTTCGAATTTCATGTAAATAAACAATGTATTTTACACGCGTTGTATACGTCGCTATGAGTCCCATATCGAACAGGACGCGGCACGACGACTGCCACCCCTTAAACAGCTAGCTGGTACGGAATAACACAAATAGCTGATTTTACGTGAACACTAAAATATCACGTGATATGGAAACCCGTCGTATTTTTGTTCCATGTATTTATTCTGGAAAAACTTCGTGTCCTTCCAGCATTTTCAAGTTCTAGACAATTTATTACGTTATAACTCTCTTTCTAAGGTCAAAGGTCATCATCTATCTACATCTATCAAAGGCAATGACCCAATACCTCGTCAACACTATTGAATAAAAATGACCCTGCCTAGGGGGGCCGAAGCTCATTTTGAGGGTTACTGAACTCTCGTACCCAAGACACATTTAAAGAATGAATAAATCATTATTTTCGTGGGAACCAGTATGGGGTGCATTTGTTTAAAATGTTGTTACTTTGTGTAAATTGTTTGTATTCCGTCAAAACGACAAATCTAAAATTGCAGCGCGCCCGTGTCTAATTTATACAACATTCAGTCTCTTGCACCGATCTACGTCGTTTTGACTTCATAGAAGCGTTCGTCACTAGAGGGCGCATTTTTGAGAAAGTTGTTGTTGACTAACAAAATTCACAACGTAGAAGTGTAGAAAACTTGAAGATTTTCAGCTTTAAAATAGTATGTTGGGACATTGGTGATAAATAGATACAAACATCTTAATAGCATTCCATGTCGCGTCACGGTCCGTGGGATTGTTTAGTAGCTCCACAATTTATGTCTGCACTTCCGTGGCCAGTTAAGCCCATTAATTACTCTCGGTTTTAATAAGTGAGCTCCACTAATTTATTTATTTTATTTTTTTTTATTTTCATGCGAAAGATACTCCGTGTTAAATAGATAATGAAAATGAAATAAATGTGTGGGGTCAACTCATAAATTTCTGAGATAAGTCATGTACACAATTTGAAAACGCCTAATAATCCATGATAACAATAACACTCTATAACGGCGCAATATTTGCGCTGAAACATGAGAAGATGTAACATTAGCCTGACGAGTTGTGTGAGTTGCGCCCTCCGCGGTGCTCCAGACCCATGGTCCGATGCCATTCGGCCAGCGAGGGCACTACTACGCATACATGTCAGGCTAATGTAGCAAACGTGTGATTTTTTTAAACCCAGTTCAAATATCAAAATAGTTAATTAATTCTTCAAAATAATTAATTCTTCAATCATATATAATCAATTTTAAAATCTTATTCAAACAGGTATTTTAGACGAACAACATCTTGTCGTCCCTGTGTATATGAAATTGGAGTTTGCTGTGGCAGAAGGGTTTTCCAATAGTGACGATAAGCACTGGGAGGACATGAAACGTGCCTATGACGCCATAGTTCTACAGCGAGTTGACTTCGACCAATCACAGACAGGGAACAAAGGTAACAAACAAACAAAAAAAACATGACGTCATAATTTATGATAATTTATGCATGATCCCGAGCTCCGTATGTAGAGAATGTAGAGAGTAAAAGCGCCAGATAGAAGTAATCACAACGAGCATCCTGTCCTCAGTGGAATGTTATAGGTTAATAAACTAGGAAACCTTATATTCGAAATAAAACCAAAATTAAATTAATGCACGTTCGAACCGAACACCGTTGCCTAGACACCCAGCGTAGACACCGGTGACATATGTTCCTTCTTCAAAAAATTCACAAAAAAAAAATAATAACAAAAAAACACAAATGCATGTAGCACATCTCGCGGCGTAATACTCGTGACGTCATATGCAAATATTGTAATAGTTCGCTGACATGATCATACGGGTGTAAACACGTATCCATCATGCAAATTAGTACCCGTAACATTGCAAATAAACTCTATATTTGGCCTTCTGCGCTCAGTGATATATGAATTATGATTGACCTATAAATAAATTTCACTATTAAAAATTGATTACACAAATTCAATATCAGTATATATATATATGTATGTACAAAAGTACAATATTGCATGGTAATATCGGACTATATTTGATAATTATATTTGCTTCTTTCAATTATAGTAATTCACATAATAAATGATATTTGTACTTCAAAGTCAGAGTTTGCCACAGCATTCACACTTGTCAAGATTAAAAATAAAATATATAGATTACAGCGTTACCACCTAACATAATATGCCACATGCAACAACCAGTATGCCTTTCAAGCAATTAAAGCTAATCGTACATTTGACCTCTTAAATTTTGTCGAAAATCTGCCACATCAGTAATTAATATTTTTCAGCATTCCCGGATGTGCCTGACGGAGAAGGGTCGGGTCGTTCACTCACAAATATTAGGTTAAGGCAATTTTGCACGACTAACCAATGTGCCTTATATATGCAATGCATTGTGGGAAAATAACACAATTATCATACTGCATGGAAAGTTACTGATATAATATGTCATTTCTTTTAAATGTGTCAACAGTTTGGATTCATGTGAATAACGAACAATAATATAATTTTCGGGTGATCTTATTTTCATTTTCGGTATCCTGGTGGCCGCATGAACGCATGGCGCGCCGACCCCCGGCCTTTAATTCTTTCGGCTCGAATCTCGTGGTATCTACTAAATAAATATACTGTCTCGTATTTACAGTCTGTATTTATTGATTTTCAGATATTTCCATGTATTTTCCAAGAAACGTTCAACGGCATCACCACGACTACGCAAATATCGAACCAAACAAAACAATTAGGATACGTTCCAAGAAATCTCGCAGCTATGAAAATCGACTAGATATTGATTCCGAACCGCGTATGAACAATTCGCCTGACCACACCAACGCAAAAACTTCAATACCCGCACCAGCGCCCCCAGTCGGCAAAAGTCTGGACCCGCCGATCTTTTCTGAAGACGGGATCACGCTGGTGAAAAAAGAGGCACGTTCGGAACCGGCTAAAAATGATTTCACCAAGAAGAAGAATAAAAAAGAGAAAAATACATCAGGGGTCAATAAATCAGGACCAAATCGAGGTGGGAAGTCTGATAAACGTTACAAATCTTTATCCGAGCTACCGTCGGATTTAACAAAGCTGACAGTGGGGCAAGTCGGGGATTTACTCAGGCTACTAGACTTGGAATTATGGGTAGCATTGTTTGACGAGAACGGGGTAGATGGGGAACTATTAAGAAAGTTGACCGCTGTCCAACTGACAGAAAACTTTAAGTTACCTCGGGTTGACGCACTGAAGATAACTACGTATTATATGGAGAACCATAAGGAAAAGAAGAAGAAGTTTGCGTTATTTTAAAACAAGGAACAATTTATAGTTATTATTTTTTAAAAGTAGAAAAGTATTATTTTCACAGAAAAAAACATGAACGTTGGTGGCGTTTTGTCGCGTGGTAATTTCTTCTGAAATCAGAAATAGTAAACAACAGCTGACTTATTAGTCCTGTCGCCCGTTCAGTTTTCAACTTAGGGTTATATTTGTTTAAGTAGCCATACTCGTTGCGTTGACAACTGCAGAGTAAACCAAACTAAGTAGAGTGAGTTTTGTTTTGCATTTATGTTTTATAATTGCAACCAACATATCAAGTCATGCAGGGTAATTCGAAAATGAGAATTCTTTTATCAACCTAATCAAAAATCGACATACCATTCTGCAGCTGAATTTACATTAGCATTTACCAGCGTGTGATCATAGTTATCTGTATAGACTTGCATACAGTCTCCTGTTTGTGATTTTGGTTGGGTTTTCAATAAAATATTATGCTATGGAAGTGTATAAATGGCGAAAGCCGAATTGCCGGAAACAAACACTCATTAATAACAAATAATAAACAAAAGACTGTATATTAATCTGAATTCTCTACTAAATTAACAGGATATTTTCCGGTCACTGCGAGATCTCGAGAATTGCGTGAAAAGCGCGGATTGACGTCTGCCATAAAAATCGAATGATTTGTTTTTTGAGCTTGAAGTTTATTTTTTATAGGTCAATTCCGAAAGGGGAATATGGTGTTGAGGTACCTTCACCTCATCAAAATTTACCTTCATCAAATGACATTACATTATTGAGTGTGAAAAATACCAATTTAACGATGCTTTCGCTTTCACGCTTAACGCGGGATCTCGCAGTGAACAGTTAATGGTCAGTTGTATGAGTGGTAAAGACCCGGATGTATGACGTTAGTCAATAAATCTTGCCTCTACGCTTGATTGTAATTTAAATCGGTCACAAGTGCAGAGCATTTCCAGGGCAGTCTACTTACAGCAACGACGTCCGATGAGTTCTATCCGCTACGAATACTTCAAATGTAAAGTAGTTCCCATATTCTTGACTGTGAACTTATTGTTACTATGTCTCGATTATCACCTTGCACAATTTGCCACACGTTCAAATTCGAATCTTAAAAAACGCCGAATAATAGACTATGTGCGTGTCTCAGTGTTGCGTGACATTGCTATTTAAGTACGTCATCAAACCCGCCATCTTGTCTAGTATTCGATTTACCACACCCATACACCATTCACCGTACATGGCTATTATTATAATTGTTACCGCGCCTAAAACTATTTGTTCTTCTAAGATAATTATTATCGATCATGTTTCTAACGCCGCATAACGGAAAACCTTCAAGAAATTACTGCGCCAGTACGCATGCTCATGCGCATACTTATCGGCACATAATGATAAAGCTATTTACAAGATCCTGCCAGAGACCATTCTTTTTTTGACTTGTCACAATTTGTTATGTATATATGCTTCGAATCAACTGCATTCCATAAATGCTGCCAAGACTGCGACAGGATATTTGAAAGTCCGGAGATAAAACTTGGCACTTACAAACTGATTATGAAACGCAGTTGTATGGATTTTGGCCAATTTTTAAATCGAAATGGCCACCAGAGAGAAGCGGTTAGCTGTGGTGATACGGGGAGAATCATAATGATTATTTTCATGAAAGCTACTAGTAGATTGGTTACCGCTTATTTGTATTCGCCCCTGTCAATTTATTTAATGGGACTTCTCACTCAGCAAATTATCAAGAATTTGTAAGGCTTTTAAATGTTTTTACTAGTTACTAGTTCACTAGTTAAGTTTGCGAGATCTCGAATTCGGTGAGAAAATTTTAAACTTATCGTATAACACACATACCATGCCAATATTTTTATTTTGGAAGCAGGTCCTCCAAATCATATATATATATATATATATAATTGTTATTATTTCAGCGTAGTTATATTTTAACTCAAGTAATTAGTCCGCATCACTTGTGTGCCGTTTCCTAGCCTCGTTCCCATCTCGTCTATTGTGTGAAAACGGTTACTCGGTGATCAAGCGCATACCTTTAATGCACATACCTATTTTAGTATTCCCAATTACAACTCTAATAATTTATGTAATAATCAATTGTACGATTATCATGCTTGCATTTTAAATTCATGTCCTGGAACGTGGCTACGTAGACCAAAGACAAGTAGGCTGTATATTTATATATTTTAATACAAATACAAATACACAACAGCATTATTATTATTACTATACAGATTATTCAGCCAAACTGTTTGATATCATTCTTGTTTTGTAAAGTATTATTCAGCAAATAAAGACGATATATTCAAAACCCAAGCCTTTTGGTAAACTCTTAGTTCACTGCTCAAAGGTTCAACAGAGAAAACTGCAACATGCGTGGGGGAAGATGTAGTTATGAACCACGGCGTCGTCGTGCTTTAGCGAACATATACGAATCCTCCCGAGCTTTCCCGAAGTGTATACATTACAAATTACATGTACGAAACCACATGGATAACTTGATTAAAGAAATGCTGTGACAGGTTTCTGATTGTGTCATCGATGATTCCAGGTACAACAGAGACGACATGAATTACCACACCTTGACCACTGTAATGGTTCCCTGTTAAAACCTTCCTCGACCGTCACGTTCCATTCATGTAGTATTTAAGTAAAGTGGTATTTCCATAATGGCTAGGGAACAATGAACTAAGCGAAGGCGTTGGCTTTATTTTTTTTTCTCGTTTAGCGATTCACTCCACTAGCCCTAATTTAAATAAGAATTCAGCAGCCAGTTTAATTGTATACGCACGGTAGCCATGTTTATAATGCTTAAACCATCTCGCAATACCGGAGAATGTTCTGTGTAGTGTGGCACCTAGTTGGGAAAGTCTGGTCGTGTCGTGAAGACGCCAGCCACATTTCGAAAGCCATCAGCGCTAATTGTCACCATGCATTGTGCGGTATTTAGGTAAGCTGGCTTGGTACACATACTAAGAGGGGTGGTCTGACCTTGTGGTATTTGTCAAAGGAATTTGTCATGGTGGGTGTGTTTCGTTCGTTTGAGGTAATATAAAACTACTTGCTGTTCACGTTTGAACGTATACTGTTCTAAACCACGTGACGCCATCTGCATGATTCGCATATACGGGTATATTAAAAAAAAGCGAGTTTGTTGGACACGATTAAATTGGTCTATGCACAGTCCCTCTATCGATAGAGGGACTGTGGTCTATGCAACACATAACACCAATTGTTTTGGCGCTGGTACGTGAATGTGTGTCACCGCTCTGTCTGGTAAGTGATGACGCTGGTGACGTCTCCTCGAAAATGGTCAGCTGGTTGAGATTTAGGGAAAGTGTAGGGCATATAATAAAAGTTGAACAATGGTGGCGGCACCGGTAGGTGGGAGGGGGCAGAGGGGCGGTCGTCCACCCCAAAATCAAGCTGAAACCATTTGTCTCAGCAAAATTTGCCCCTCAAAATGCAGGAAATAGCGTTTCAGAGGGTCAAGATTTCAGATCTCGCCCCCATGTCAAATTTCGTGCAGCCGCCTTTGGTGAACATATGCAAATTAATAGTGTTTGTTTCAAGTTACTGTCGGTTCGGACAAACAAATGAGTAAACAAAAACTAAAATATTGAACGACTTATTAATATCTGTTTTGGTGTTGAAATAATTTCTCAAGGGATTTGCTCATGTTAAATCATCCACAATAAATCACTGAAAAGTCACAGCAGCTTAAAGCGGGAGTGTCGTCACCTGCGCATGCGTCAGATGGCCATAACGTGTCATTGTTTATAAACAAGCGTCCACTCATGAGCCTTTGCGTTTTAAGGTAGAGATGCAGTTTATTTGGCTTGCTTTTTAA